ATGCCATTGTCTCTAACTTCAAAAGTCGCGATTGTCTTTTCATTGACACGCAGTGGGTATGATTTACGGTCTTAAACAAATTGCTGATGTTTGAACATTGAACATTGAGCTACTGTGAATAATTCTAAAAAAAAAAATGCGAAATATTATTTTTTTGTCTTTTATCATTGGAAGACTCTTTTGCGGATTTAAATCTTTCGCGAATATTAATTCCATATATAATAACTATCTATTTGGAAAATGCATCTACTTAATCGCGAATTTATGTACTCGAAAAATAGGATAGTTCGCTCAATTAAGCGCGTTCGAAAAAATAAGAGCTACAGTATTTGATTATGATATGATACCTAAGCGTGCACGCACACTCTGCAACTTGTATACGTTTGTAAACTTTATAAATAAACTTTCAACTTGATGCTCGTTCCGATATAATAAGTGATATGTGAAGTAGCATGTAATATAAACTAAAGCTTTATTTGAATAAACGGCAATGTTGATAAATGGCAATTGCTTATTTTATTATTGGTGTTCAGCGACAGGTTTCATCATATATAAACTGAGATTAAATGTTGAAGTACCCTTGTACCCTGCTGTTAAACTCGTTTCGCACGAATTGTGTATATAAACAATGGGCAAATCCAGCTTTATATTTATTATTTACTCATTTATATTTTTGTTCGGGTGTTCTACTGCTAAAACGTGAAACAAAGGAATAGACTATCTGTTTCTCGGTTTAAGGTCAAAAGTAATTAGGGGGAAAACGTAAATATACATAAGGGGAACTAATATAAATACACATTAACTTGAAATTAAATCAAATTCGAGGAAGTGTCTTTTTGTGAATTAATGCCAAAATACCGATATCACGAAAAATGAAGAATTTACAGCATTATATCTTTATATTTGGAGAACATTTACGGTAGCTTGTTTTCATGCACAAGTCAGGCTGTTGTCATAATGAATGATCTAAAAGGTACCCCTGTGGTCCAGTGTTACATATTATAGTATACCTGATATCACAAACAATGGATGTAGGAGGCACGGTTGTGTAACGTGAACAAAAGACGATAAGGACCCATTGTTAAAAGATATAGGTCTACTTATTGAACGCCTTGTCGGCTTAATCATTCAATAATGTAAATTTTGTAAACTCAAACTTAAACAAATATGTGAAAAAATACAAATATATTTGTCTCTTGTTCTAGTACGATTCTTGTATCTCTTCTCCTAAAACGTTTATTTTTAATCCCATTTGATTAAATTTTATAAATCAATTTTAAAACCATTTCAAATATTTCCGACTAGTTCCATTATGATAAGCAAACTTTAATCAACTGGAAACTTGCACGCATTGCTTCTATTTGTATAGGTAAACACAGTTACTGTATGCTTTAATTAAGATATAATCTTTAGAAGAAACAAAACCTTAGGTCAATAAAGATAAAAAAAATCAAAAGACATTAGAGCAGATCTGGGTTTATTATATTAATTTGGAACATGTTCAATTATCGATTTGTCCCGATACGATATCATATATAATATTGTAGGTTAAAGAGAACCAATAAACAAGGGTGGGAGGGGATATGATTTATCTGTATTTTTTTCCAAAACAAACAAATAAATGATAATTGAATAAGTGCATAAATAAAGAGGACAAATTTCGTTTGAAAAAGGAATCTTCGATGGACTAGAAATAATAAAGCTCAAACAGAGTCGGAAGCGTTCATAAATAAAGAAGAAGAGAGTAAAGTGAACAGGATGATAATATATAATTATACCAGACCAGAGAATATTATATACAGTATGTCCTAATCGAGATGGACTCAATAAAAACAAACAATCCATATTTACAATATTGATAAAAATCTACTTTAACATACTTTACGATTAAGATAATATAAATATACGACAGGATCATATTGAACATAATAGATACGGCGCCGAAATAAGGTAAACTAATTATATAACCTAAGTGTCAGTTTCTTCTGTCAAATCAATATAAATACTAAACCAATAACCAGGGATACAAAAGGTCAGCAAGCCAATAACACTCAATTAAGCTTGTGCACGTGGTAGTCCGTAGTGCACCCGCACAGACAGAAGAAGCTTCGTATTAAATTTAAGTTCGCTCATGCTTAGTGTCTTCGTTGAGTTTGGCGAAAACTAGGACATAGAAATATCCGAGTTGTTTCCCTTTTGTTGTTGATTACGACCAGAAGCAGTGTTAATACACATGTACAATCATGTATAATTGAAATTGAAATCAATAGGTGCAATTTGTCTGCTTTTTGGATTTTTGCACAATGCATTACGCATATGCATATCTTTTACTCAGGTAAATATTACACATATTTTAATCTACATCCCCCGTCCCCAAAAAAAGAAAACGGTTAGGTGTTAATGTTGCCTTTCTGATTTCGCCCCGAGAACCGCGTGACTGCTATAAATGAAGTCAGAGAAATAGTCCCTTGTTTAATTAATTGCCTTTTTTTTTTAAATTATTGATAATCTAATATGTTTTAAGTTTTTTGTTCGTGTTTTGGTTATAACCGAGCATAAGACAGTCACTTTGTGAATGTGAAACTCCCAGCTGCTACATTACCGACCAGAACGAATCAACTAGTCATCATGAAATATAGCGTAACAATGTGTTGTCATTGAAAGTCCTTTAAAGTGTAATCAATCTTTTCTTAGAATTTTGAATAATATGCAGGTTTTCGATAGTTTTATTATCTAAATATATTGAAATTGTTTGATGACTTTTACAAAATGTCAACTAAACGTGTTGTTTTTATATCTTAAAACGTGTATGAAGTTTATGACCTTACCATTTTGAACAGCACAGACGTAGTTTGAAAAGGGTTATCAGAAATATATCTAGAGATATAACATGATAGAAATCAGTGTTATAGCAGTGTTAATATGTTTACACATACAAATGATCATCGTTGTGCATTTCAACAAATATTAACAGTTATAATATATGTTACATACTTGATTATATGTGTTACATACTTAATTATATGCGTTACATACTTTATCATATGTGTTACATACTTTATCACATGTGTAACATACTTTATCATATGTGTTACATATATAAGTTATCTAAAGTAAACTTTTTTGTGTCACCAATACCAAAAGGACTTAAGCAAGACTCATCCTGAAAGGAAGAATCACAGAATGGAAAGGTAGCAGAGACGAAACTAGTTGTTCTGGCATCTTAGAAATCAAACTTTTCTGATTCCGATACTAATATCTTTCCCGCCCTCTTCCAATGTCAATATCATATCGAAGACTCAAAGTTGTTCATTTGATTCAGGTGATAGTTTTCTAAAGTAACATTTCCTGTGTCACGAACATGAGAGAACAAGAATCAAGACTCATCCTGAAGCGAAGAACAATAAAAATGAAAAAGTTTTAAGACGAGATATCTTCTCTGAATGCTAAGATTATGTCAGTTCAAAATCGAAAGTTCACAGTTGGTAATTTGATTTGTTTCAGACATAAAAAAAAAACACCTGTTAGACCCCTGTTTCTAATGAATACAGAAGTGCTACACAAAATCACAGGCGATCAATTATGCTACAGTCCGGATCTTGTTGCCTTTTATAAAAGATACACAGGATTCTGTGACATTACCTGGTCAGTAAACTCATATCATCCATAAGGTGTCACGTGCTGGGCATTAAATTGTTTCCATGACGTATCCGAAGGGTGTAGAGAATATTATGGATGTCGAATGCGGGACCCTTGCATTGCGGACATGGCAATCGGTAAGAGTTAGGTGTCTTGCACTAAATGTTGTACATGATTGATTGATTTATAGGGTTTAACGTCCTATCAACAGCTAAGGTCATTTAAGGTTGTGCCTCCATGTGTGTTGTGTAAGCGTGCATGTGTTTATGTGTGTTTGAAGCAGGGTATGTCGGTGTATTTGCCTCCTTGTGATAGCGGCACTGATGCCGACTTTAAAGCGCTATCTCACTGAAATACCATGCCGAAGGTACCCGACACAGAATTCTGTCCGGTCACGTTATACTGACAACAGGTGAACCAGTTGTTGTCATTACCCTAAATGCTGAGCGGTAAGCAGGGTAAAACAACTACCTTTTCAAGGACTGTGGTTTGTCCCGGACCGAGGACAGAATCCCTTTCCTTCCTCCCCTGGGCTTACGTTCAACATTAAGACCAAAAGTGAGGTATTGCCAAGCAAGGTACTAGGAAATAAAAGGTTGTTAAAGGTAGAAGAAAAAATCCCAAATATCGCAATGGGTGCAGAAGATTTATTTTTGTCGCTCTTGTGTCCTCAGATAGCAAAAACGCAAATCCCCAAATCTGCAGAGGTTCCCACACGTCGCATCCTACGATACCTTTTCTCGATCCCCGACCTACAGGGCTGGTTGCACATGAATGATCCTATCAAACACTGAGAAGTTTGTAGATCACCAATAACATGATACTCTGACGAGCAAACATTTACGCGTAAAATGTTTGGAATTAGGTCATGCTGACAACAAAAATGTATTTTGACTCTGTTTTGATGTAGAGTATCTTTGATACATGTAGATCTAAAAGAAATGATAGAAAACCATTACCAGGTAGTTTTCTTGTTATCCAGGACTTTCCCCCAGAATCTGCTACTTACCACTAAATAATCGTTTGTAAAGATTAAAAAAACAATACAGATATGTTCAGTCATAAAGTATAAAAATAAACCTATTTAAAAATCGATATATAGGTGTAATATCATTATAAACACAAACTTTACAACTTATATTAATCACTATTTTTGCCCCGGATGTTAGCTCGCTGGGGGTCTTTATGTTGAAGAAAACCGGATTACCCGGAGAACACCCATGTGGTCGGGCAGGTGACCCCTTATCTTTTCACGTCCGATCGGGGTATTGGGGGATCGGGGGATCGAACCCCGATCGCCTTGGTGAAAGACACACGCGCTATCCACTGGGCCACCCGACCACCCATGTGTAATAAAGACAGAGAATTAGTCTTTTTGTGTTTATTTTATTATTCTCTTGCATATAAATAAATGATATGAAAAGAAAGTCTTTAATAAAAGACACACAAATATCTGCCATTCATACAGTTATCAGTCAAATCTTGCTACTCCAAGTTAATGACACGCTGCGACAAAACTACACACCAGAACTAGGTTTTACTAGCCAGCTGGCAATGTTCCAGAGCAATGTGTGGCAATAAGTCTATTTATAAGCCCTCATACACAGCGTATAACTACGTCAGGTTATAAAATTATCTACAGTGTGATTACGTTTGTCAATGTCAAAGAAAATACACATATATTGGATCGTGTTAGTGTGTGTTTGTACTGCGACCCAGATTTAATTTAATGAAAACACTGATCTCGTAATCACGTGGTATTCCAACTGCAATAACTGTTTATAAACATGACGGCTTACAACATAACAAACTATCGAAATCAGTTGTATAAGCATTGTCCACTTGACATCATATTTATAACTCAAACAGTATGTGTTTTCATCATAATGATTTAAAACCGAAACAAACAAAACATATCAATAAAGTTTGAAGTTTTGATTGTGAAATGTAACATCTTGGACACTAAGACTCAACTTATGTTAAACAAGTTTTAGATGCATCGATTTTACAAATCCGTTCTAAAAATAAACATTTATAACTAAGTACATTTATCTGTAAGTGCTAAATTTCCATGCTATTATTTCGTTAGTTACAACTACATTTTTTGCAAAACACTTATATTTCGCAGCAAAAAAGGATGGTATCATATAGTCAGAAATGTAAATTGTAGATACAGATATATAGCACACCTATTCATTTAAGCTTTTTTGTTCCCTTTTGTAAAGTAATAACTTTCTTCTATTTTAGGTAACCTTCGCCTTGCCAAGCATTGTATAATCTAGTGAAATAAGCTGTGCATTATATATGTCATTAGTGTACAAGCACGTCTGCGTCACGCGCTGTTTGTTTTCTATACTTCGTGATTTTTTTTGTAGGGTTTATTGTTTTCTAGTGACTCCTGAACCTTATTTACAAAACGTAGATGAGACCAATTACCTAGATAAATAACTAGCTTTCAACATTTGGGCAAGTCCAATAAGAAAATCATGAGGCTAGATCTCACAGATATGTATCCCAATAAATAACAACTACAAGTAGTGTATGCTACAAACAAAGAATGCAATCACTTATGAATACACCAGTATAAAAATAGATACAAAATGTGACGCTGCAGTTTATCTAATGAAGAAATTAATATACGAAATTTGACAAAACGCCCTATCTAGCTAGATAAGCATCCCCAAAGCGCTTAACAGTACACATATGTACAAGTTATACAATCAATACAATTAACATATACAGTAAATAACATTAATCAATACAATTTTCAGGAATTTGCAGGAGCTGCCTTATCAGGCGGTTACTAATAGTCATAGGGCACCTGGGTAATAATTCCATATGTGTGTATGCCTTCCTGTGTGCTGGAGATGTATTCTGTACCATCATAAAACATAAGTAGAGTATAGCGAATAGCTACTGTTTGGTCTTAATTACATTCTTCTTATAATATAAATAATTGATCAGGGTTAATATACATTTGGATCTAGAAAGCTCATATTCACTACAGATACTAATTATCTCATAGTATTATGAACAAACACACCTTCAATTTTAATGGTCTTCTCAAATCTTGAAACACCTTCTGAAATACCTTAGGCATTCTTTGGTATTGGATACTTTGAAGTCTTTAAAGATAGTTTGGACTATTTCTCAACCTTTTCCATTCAGTAACCAGCACAGGACACCAGAAACAAAACTTACACGCGATAATTTTAAACATACATAAAATGTATGTATTGAATCCACTTAAATATTTCTCCTTATTTCTAGAAGTATGTGAAGAAGATAACTATGTTAAAAGAATCCACCGTGGTATATGTTTGAATTTTTAATTCCTAAGGCGAACTGGTGTGCAATTTCGAACGAATCATAATAATACACTGACGAACTGCAATACAACAGTTGCTTCAGCAATATTTTTCTAATTTTTCAATGATATGAACTCGACATAAGAGTTAAATTTCAATCATCATCAAATATAATTTGCAATAATAAAAATGTGACTAGTTTGTGAAAATACAACATGCTGATGTAGTGATTTCTTCGACTAAACAACCAGATAGAATAATTTAATAATTTAAAATGTAAAACCATGTCTGTATCACAGACCAAAATATTTAACCAATGTTTAAAAAGAATAAGTTAAAAAAAAAATCAGTTTAAAAAAAGAAAAAGGATAAATATCACAGATAGGAAGATTTACACATGGATCAAGTCTGAGGAGTATGCTGGAAATATTTCTCATCAAATTTAGATCAGTGAATATCTCTAGACACAAGAACACAATTTTGCACAGTTTAGCTGAAGTTTTTCTCCGCCAGTTTACAAGTCAATGATTATCGCGAAGATATATGACTGTCATGTGGTCCATTTTTGAAGAACAAACAAGTAGCTTTTTTCCTCGCGTTTAAATCCCTTTGCAAGGCGTATTGCTTGTCTTAAATATTCCTGCGCTGCCATTTTGTACCCATCAAGAAAGTGGAGCTTCGCCTTGGCCCGTTTACACAACATACGCCTCCTCTTATCTGTATTTGTCCAATGGTATTCTTCAGCTTCTTCCAGACACTGTCTAGCTCTTTCTCTGTCCTCACGGCTGATATCGTCCTTATCTGGGTCGATATCTTCACCTGAGAGACCGATTCTCAGCAGACAACATGTTTTCTTTACCAGAAACATTCTCATCCACATATTGGACACTTCACTCTCTGTGATAGCTTTCCCTTGTTCCAGTCCCTTCTCGATCCACTCCAGGATGCTTTCTTTCTGTTGCACATCTGATCTTACACAGAAACCTGCTAACTGCACATTGATATATCCATACAAACAACTTGCGTTGACTCGAGCCATGCTTGTCTTATTTAAGAACGCTCGCAGTATCTCCATTCCCTTTTCAGCCTTTCTGATAGCATCCTCAACTCGTCTGCAAACTGCGAAGGCGCCTGCATACCTGTAGAGAATATCTGAGGTTTTAGTTTTAGCTGTTTGTATGTTCTCTAATTTGTTATCAATATAAGTTGATTTATTTGTCTCAGGATGTTAAAAAAATATGATTATTGCTGTACTTTCCACTGTTTAACTAAGAAAAGCTTGAAAAGATGTTTGTTTTTGATAAATATCGCATCTAGAGCAATTTTTTATTATTATCCGACATTGCAATTTCCAATTAATTTATATACTAAATAATAATTACACGTGTATAATATTTCGTGCGAACATTGTTTTCTAAAAATGAAAAAGAAAAGAAAAAAAATGAGAAATACCTCACTAAATATAGATACACACTACGTTCTGCAAACATTCATTAATCACAGAACTGACCCATTTTACTGTGTCATACGGCCATCTCATCAATTTTTTGACATATATAGAGTCAGCTTAGAACACAAAATTGCGTTTGAAGATTTTCTTTCAAATTATGAATGCTATGTGATAAATATATTCTTACATTCGTATCCATGTCATGTTGAATGTATTAAACTCCTTTAATAATTTGATAAACTCAATATGACATGGACACTCATGTAAGATGCTCTATCTATTGCTCTTACCTGAATCTTGTTATCATCAGGGCAATGCATGGAAAGGACGTGTAGGGCGCAAGAAGTTCCAGACATTTATAAATATGATGATTGCATAAGTCTTCGTCGAGACACTTAGAGGTCCTCAGTGTGTCTGCCTGACCTTCATATATTGCGAACTTAACGTTATATTGTGATTTAGGGAGTCTGTAGGCGATGAATTCTTTACATTCTGTGAGACATGCATCACTTGGTGGCGATTGGACAGAGTTATACACATTGTTCTGGATAATGTCTGCTAGGTTTCTGTATTCCGAAATTTGACTGCTTATTGATCGTTCTTCCTGATCGGTTGTTTGATCTATGCTGACAATGTTTGCATGTTCAAAGTTAATTTGACTATTCGACACGTTTAGTACGTACATTGTTTGTGTAGGAAGTAAAACGTTGATATCACATATTTCCACACTGAAGAATCTTATTGAAAATATTAATTTGACTTCCTTCCGAAATCCGTGAAGCTTTTTGCCTCTTCCTGCAACGTTTACATCCCGTTACGTTCTCAGAGGCAAAAGGCATCGTTTTCTTTACGAATCATCACATACACATTGTGCCCCTGGTATGTGCGTACCGAGTTTGTACAACGGCGATCAGGTCAATCTTTACCCAAAGTAAACACACGACAGACCAGGAAGTCGGTGAGTTTCCTCTAAATCCGTAACCGGATTTCCCCACTTTCTTTTTCACGTAACATTTATGTAAACAACCCTCAATATAAATATGCTCTGGGCCTAATAATAAAATACATCAGATTGCTATTATTACCGTGCGATATTAGAAGGTGGCTGTATTCAGTTAGATCGTCTTATGGCGTCCGCCATATGCAATAATACAACATTATGTAGTCGATTGTCGTAACAGATATAGTGTGTCTAGATATACATTTAAACGATGTGTTCAGTATTTATGTCATTTACCGCTTCAAAAGAAAACAGCACCACACTCCCTACTTCACATGGTCACGTGGTTATGTGCGGGTTTATGTAAAGTGCACACATCGTTTTCGGTATATACCTTATAACTCCAAAATTAATCCTGGTTATTCCTTAAAAACATGAAGCATACACAATTATTTTTACCCGTATGTTTCGAACGCTTCCAACAATTCGTTCACATGGATGAATATTGAAAAGTTGAATAGGCCATGTGTGGCATTGTGCACCTGTACGTCATTTTCTATATTTGCATATTAAGGCGTGTTTATTTATTTTTCTAATCAATGATACACAAAAATAGAAATAATATGGAGTAACCAAATGTAAGAAGATGAACAATATAAAAAGAATCATAACAGCAAAATCTGAAATAGGTCTTGAAGAAATATTGTTTAAAGCTGAACATAATAAAAATTAGTGAAAAAAAATTGACAAGGGTGTTTTCATTAGAAAATGTCACTTATGCATTGAAATGTATTGTTACAATTATGATTGTAAGCAATACATTCTCTTCAAACATATTTCATGAACGGTGATGAATCGTAAATTGACGAAATGGAAGAAAAAAGGTTTACTTTGTTTGTATAACACAGTGTTTAAACGTATCTTCCTTACCTCGAATTTCTAGTGGTTATTCTTATAATGATGACTAGGTTCATGAGGGAACGTATGGTCCATCAACAGCAACTCTAGTAACTAGGTGTAGCTACAAAACACAAAAACATACCATATAAAAGGATCGGTCAAGATTTTTTTATTAAAACATTTCATCATCAATGTTTGAAGGTTTTTGAAAATTAAAAGTATTAAATGAAAACCAAAAACACCTTAAGATTTAGAAGAAGAAGAAGAAGTAGAAGAAGAAGAAGAAGAAGAAGAAGAAGAAGAAGAAGAAGAAGAAGAAGAAGAAGAAGAAGAAGAAGAAATGAAGAAGAAGAAGAAGAAGATAAAGAAGAAGAAGAAGAGGAAGAATCTGAAGAAGAAGAAGAAGAAGAAGAAGAAGAAGAAGAAGAATGTGCCCATTGTACAATTTTTGTGATAAATGTTTATACATTGTATATATTTCAATATTATCCTTTAAAATGTCAGCGGTTTTTAATCAAATTTTACTAAACGGAAGCACAACGGAATACGGAATATTCTTAGTTGGAACACATTACGCCATATTGATTATGTTACAGTTTTGGCTGCACCTCTTCCCTCGGACGAACAGTTCGACTTTTGTTCCGTCCGTGTAAGATATTCCAGACAACATCTTGGTTGTACCCAGAGGTTTAGCTTACCGGTTACATCGACCATTGATTCACGCAAAACGCAATCGTAATAAATTCATTTTCCTAACTTATTAAGAAATCCGATTTCATTATAATTCAAAGCTCAGTTTCGAGAGATCTTATTTGATGCACCTGTGAAGAGTTGTCTGTTTTATGGTCTTTACTCTGTTAACTGTGGCTGTACCGGCTTTGCACTAGTTACATCAAGCTTAACTTCATAGACATCTGCATTTGCAATATCATTGCGGACAGTTTGACGCCAAGCATTTCAAAATTGGCCTGAAAGTCCCAGCTGTCGGGAGAGATGTTTCATGATGTCATGTCCCTCTTCCAAGCTTCATGGAATCAGAATGAGGAGCGACCGACTCGGTTGTTGTCAGTAGCCGTAAGCCTGTACATGTCTGCTGGACGTATGGAAAGTGAAGTTAGCTCAGTAGGTAATACTTGATGACAAACGAGGCTAACTGCAGGATGTTACTGAGTTTAACTCATTGGCTCTGTGTATATGCTTGAGGTTTCGCATTAGAAGGCATCAAACTGTCATTCCTACTACATGTATTATCGTCCATGTTTCACTTCTGTAGAGTAAGGTGCTGAGAACACAGACCAGGAAGAATCTTTTCAGCACAAAACCATGCAACAATCTCTACGTCACTATATATCCCTTATTGTGTTTGATTGCCCAAGCCAGGTCGACGTCGATTGAAACACTGTTGCTGAATATCAGTCCCAGGTTAGAAACGATACCCTTAACTGCCATGTTAACTTTGATGAAGGTAAAAGTTATACATCTTGTACGCTGACATGATTTACAATGAGCCCGAATTATTTGCAAGTGTCGTCAAAAAGGTTTTCCGGTCTCTGAAATGCATCCTCTCTGTAGATAGCAAGGGTCGCAACATCAGCAAAGCATAGGACAAGGAACAGGGAACACGTTTGATTTGGAAACAGTCCGAGGGTGATCCGTTGTACAGATGTGTTCCTTTCATGTCCGTTTAGAGTGAGATCAACATGCTTCGGACTTTTGTGGAGGCAGAGGCACCCTCCAATGAAGTTCGAATAGGTCATTTATATTGAGCTATATCACAAATTTGTGAAATAAGGGGTTCTCCATTTTTTTAAACCATTTGCTCTGATGCATTGTGAGTATTTGATATTTCTATTTTAACAGTTTTGAACATGTAAGAAAATGGCTGATTAATCAGTGACTTCATGAACTCTAAAATCAGTTCTATTAGAAGGCAATCCTCGAAATCCATGGGTTCTGTGCACAATACATACATATTTCTCTTTCTGCAATCCTGGAATATGTCATGACAAAATAGAAGGCTTGTGATAAGCTATTTGATTCATTCATTCAAACACATTTGATTGACATTAAACAGTCAAAGGGATTGGGTACAAGTTCTTTCAACTTTTTAGGCCCTCTCCCAGAAATAAAGCTATTTTATTGGTTCATTGCAAAAAGAACTAGGCCAGTCGAAAGTACCTGTCCTTGACGATAACAGAAGAACAACACCCAAAATTAAAGACTGCTTATTTTACCGTTACGTGCCGCTCGATTCAAAGATGTCGGACAGCTACTAGTCTACTTGCATTATCAACAAGGTGTCGGGTACAAAAAAAGGACTTCAATTTTTATTGATATACTCAAGTAGTGGAGAGAAGATATGTGTATCGAGGGTGATCGGCGTGGATTTCGGGGATGCAGGAGTACATGTATACATCTGAATGACTTATGTTATAATTATGTTGGTTATATTAATAAATTATGTTTTAATAAGATAAATCGACTAAAAACCTTTGCAAATCGATGCCATTGAAAAAAAAAGTGGTAGTTAAATGAAGTGAAAGTTTGTATTATGCGAATATAATACTTTTGACTATCTGTAATGTGCCTCAGACAAGCAAATATGCTGAAATGATCGAAATAAAAAAAAACTCTGAAAGTTGTGTAACATTATTTGTGATCCCTTTTGACTTCATGTGTTCATTACAGGCAAATATAATGTATATAGCTGAAAAGAGGGCAATGTTTTGATAATCTGGACCCTACCTCTTCACCAGTCCGTTACGTTACTAGATTAGCTGTGCGGGTATATGAATGATACTCTATAGCTTTTGTCTAAACAGGTATTTACTGAAAACATCTGTCCACATCTATTTACTGGACGCGTGTCTGTATAGTATTAGTTGTTTTCCTTTTGCATTTAGTTCAGCCAGGATGCACAAGATAATTTATGTTTAAATGAGTACATACGTACATGAACCGAACATCTCAAGGTTACCGATCGATGCTTATTTATGTAATCTGACGTGTGACGTTCCTGTATACCCTCAAAAACAACTAATCACTGCATTCTTCACACAATGTTATTCAAAGGAAAAAGGAAAATGAATTTGACACGACCATTCAAAACGTATTTATCGTATAATATCGATGTCTTGCTTTACTTTTTTGACACAATACGTTTGATAAACGTGATACAGGGCTAGGTAGGTAGGGACTGACCTAACCACCTGTCCATGGTGTTACAGGGCTAGGTAGGTAGGAACTGGCTCAACCACCTGTCCTTGGTGTTACATGGCTAGGTAGGTAGGGACTGGCCCAACCACCTGTCCTTGGTGTTACAGGGCTAGGTAGGTAGGGACTGGCACAACCACCTGCCATTGGTGTTACAGGGCTAGGTATGTAGGGGCTGGTCCAACCACCTGTCCTTGGTGTTACAGGGCTAGGTAGGTAGGGACTGGCTCAACCACCTATCTTTGGTGTTACAGGGCTAGGTAGGTAGGGACTGACACAACCACCTGTCCTTGGTGGTACAAGGCTAGATAGGTAGGGACTGACACAACCACCTGTATTGGTGTTATAAGGCTAGGTAGTCAGGGACTGGCACAACCACCTGCCATTGGTGTTACAGGGCTAGGTAGGTAGGGACTGGCTCAACCACCTGTCCTTGGTTTTACAGGGCTAGGTAGGTAGGGACTGGCCCAACCACCTGTCCTTGGTGTTACCTGGCTAGGTAGGTAGGGACTGGCTCAACCACCTGTCCTTGGTGTTACCTGGCTAGGTAGGCAGGGACTGGCACAACCACCTGCCATTGGTGTTACAGCGCTAGGTAGGTAGGGACTGGCCCAACCACCTGTCCTTGGTGTTACCTGGCTAGGTAGGTAGGGACTGGCTCAACCACCTGTCCTTGGTGTTACCTGGCTAGGTAGGCAGGGACTGGCACAACCACCTGCCATTGGTGTTACAGCGCTAGGTAGGTAGGGACTGGCCCAACCACCTGTCCTTGGTGTTACCTGGCTAGGTAGGCAGGGACTGGCACAACCACCTGCCATTGGTGTTACAGGGCTAGGTAGGTAGGGACTGGCCCAACCACCTGTCCTTGGTGTTACCTGGCTAGGTAGGCAGGGACTGGCACAACCACCTGTCCTTGGTGTTACAGGACTAGGTAGGTAGGGACTGGCTCAACCACCTGTCCTTGGTGTTACATGGCTGGGTAGGTAGGGACTGGCTCAACCACCTGTCCTTGGTGTTACATGGCTGGGTAGGTAGGGACTTGCACAACCACCTGTCCTTGGTGTTACAGGGCTAGGTAGGTAGGGACTGGCCCAACCACCTGTCCTTGGTGTTACAGGGCTAGGTAGGTAGGGACTGGCTCAACCACCTGTCATTGGTGTTACAGGGCTAGGTAGGTAGGGACTGGCCCAACCACCTGTCCTGTGACACACTCAGATCTCATTTAACCTTTATTGCTGTTGCC